CAGGCACACACACACCAGGCACACACACACACCAGGCATGTGCCCAGAGGCTGATCTAAGAAACAAAGTCACATTTTCCATCCATTGCAGCCAGAAGACTTCACTTGAAAAACCTGGTTTGCGCTGGTAAAAAAAAAATCATCTGGATGTTTACACTCAAAAACCACACCCACGTTGGCAGAGTTGTGTGGGAGAGTAGAGCAGACATTGGCCTTCATTTCTAACCTTGCAGAGAAGCACATGACGGGAAGCTATTCCTGGACCGAGTTAAGTCTGAATCCAGCCGGTGAAGGTAAGGGGGCGGCAGGGCAGGAGCGGGCAGGGCAGGCCAAGGGTGGGTCCTGCACGGGAACCACCGGGAAGCCAAATCCTCAAGAGCACAGCCGGGGCTCAGGAGTCAGGACCCACACCCCACAGCCCCGCCCCGCAGGGAACAGGGGGCGTTGCCCTCATCTGCCCTCACAGTTCAAGGTGCAATTTAGGATTCATTTCAATGAGAAAAGAACACCACGCCCCCTGCAACACTGGCTGTCCAGGAAAAACAATTACCCCCAAATTTGAGCTCAGAATAATGGAAGAAGCCATTGGTAATAACAGTTAATATTTTTGGAGGACTTACTCCATGCCATTATATCACTTCATCCTCCTCACAATTCCATGAAAAATTAAGAGTTCCCCTGACCAGAGAAAAAACGGAGGCTGGCCAGGCAGGACTGAGCAGGCTCGCTGACTACTCAGATCCTGGGCCAAGACCCTGTTAAGCGCTTCATTCCAGGCCAAAGGCTTTTGTCCGTTTTTATAACCATTAACCTCCTGCTGAGATGCACAGTGAGCACAGCCTTGTGCTCTGGGTTAAGACTGAACCTGTGACGATGGGCCAAAGGTAAGGCACTCAGGGCCACCACCTGAGCACTGGGCAACCTGCTCCTGGGGAGGTGCTGTTAAAGCTGTGTTTTCAACATTAAAACAGCAGCTTTTGACTTTTTTCCCAGTTGGAATAGTTGTGAAAATATAAAATAGGCTAACATTGCCATATTGGTGATAACAGAACCCAAAAATCTATCTTCCCTAGATGTCCTAACATTTCTAGTAATGAAACTGCTTTGATATCACAGTGAAATTGAAGGTGATTTTTCCATCAACCAAGACCCTCCACACCAAAAAGGGCACAGCAGCTGCAACAATTGTGCTTCTGGGAAGTCAGTAGGGAGAGAGACAGGGAGGCCTGGCCCTGGACATTATCCAGTCAACCCACTGAGCATCTGCGATGGGCTAGGCATCTGCCATCCACCATCAAGTGGTGAGAAGCGTCATTAGGAAATTAAAAATGAGAGAGAGAGAGAGAGAGAGAGAGAGAGAGAGAGAGAGAAAGAGAGAGAAAGAGAGAGAGATGACTCGCTGGGGAGGGAGTGAGGGAAGGCCTCTTCAGCACAAGCTCTGAGCCGAAACCTAAACCAGAAGGAGCCAGCAAGCAGAGATCAGGGGAAAGATTCGCCCAGAGGGCAGGCACGTCCACTGCAGAAGCCCCAGGAAGGAGACACTGTGACAGAAGCATCCTGAGCAAGAGGGAGTAACTGGAAAAGAGTCCACAGGAGTGAGATCCTTGCAAACCCTGGGAAGGAGTGAAAAGCCCCCTGAGGATTCTCAACAAGGGCCAACAGTCAGACTCGTCTTCAGATCTCATTCTGGCTATTATATGGGAAGTGGCTGCTACTCTTTGCAGGTGGGGAGGGACCCGTTTAACAAGACCCTGGCTCAGCTTGTCCAGCGGGCAGCAGGTTCCCTATTCACAGGCATGAAAAGAGAACCTCTTCAGAACCAACTCTGGACACTAACTCACTGGCCCTGCTCCTAGGATTATCTGAAAATTATTTCTAAAATTACAATCAAAGCCCGGCTGGTGTGGCTCAGTGGTTGAGCATTGACCTATGAACCAGGAGGTCATGGTTCCATTCCCGGTCAGGGCACATGCCTGGGTTTCGGGCTTGATCCCCAGTGTGGGGCGTGCAGGAAGCAGGCGATCAATGATTCTCTCTCATCACTGATGTTTCCATCTCTCTCCCTCTCCCTTCCTCTCTGAGATCAATCAAAATATATTTAAAAATTCAGCAGCATGGCC